CACTCGCGCGCTTAGATTCCAATAATATGAATTGTATCAATCAGACAATTGAATCAGAATTTATTTCAATATACACAAAAGGAAATGTCTTTGCTCTTTTCTTATCACTCACATGTGTATAGCCATTCCTACGCATAGTAGCGAGAGCAAGACGATTGATTCTATTTTTGGCTGAAAGGTGATTAGGGAATTCATGGAGTCTATTTAAATTTTTAAGGTTGATTGTTCAGAGTTGTCTGGAATGATGAAAAAGTGATTGAATCTAGCTAGGCATTTCCTTGGATTTGACTCAAATTCTTAGGATGTCTATGCTTATAAAGAACCAAAACCTTCATTGATCTTGATTCCGACCTATAGCTATCCTCGGCCTTACATTGAAACCGCTAACCTCTAAATTTGACAAAGCCGTCAACAGCTGTAAATCTTCTTAACTTTTGTTCACTCAAGTGAAAAATATATATGCTCTGTTTGCGTACGAAGAATGGCATCAGATGAAAAACGAAATTCTTTTTTGTTTTGTTTTGAACGACTCCAAACAATCACTCAATCTTCTTCGATTCGCATGTTATTCGCAAAACAAGCAAAAGTTGAAACAAAAAAAAAAGTTCATCATTTTGACGTGAGAGAAGGAAGTATGAAGAAGGAAGAAAGTGAGAAGAGCGACAGTGAAGACAGAATGAAAAAGTTTTCTTTTGTTTAAAAGGCAATTTCTTTACTCCCTCCTCACTGTGTCAATATTCAATTAAATTGAATCAAGTTAATTGGAACAAAAATTACTTTTTACTTTAAGTTTGAATTTGTTTTAATAAAGCTTAATTTTTGAGGAATTTTGACATTTTTGGATGAGATTTTTCAGGAATTTTCTGATTTTTGAATTGAATAGTTTTTAAGTTCTAATTGAATCCTCGCATGCATATTGGATATTTTATAAGGAAATCTTATAGAGTCGCCGCAAGCCGCATGTATCAAGCTTCTGATCGATGAATTTCACTATTTCACTACTTGTCTTCCTTGCGAAAATTTTTGTTTCTTAAACTTTTACTGTGACTTATTTTTTCATACTATTAATCAAGGAATTCAATCTTCCCTCTTTTTCTGTTTTTCTAATTTTCATCCTTGATTGAGGAAATCCCAGTGGAATAAGAAGCTTTCTGAATTCAATTTTTCTATTCTTTTACTTTTAAATTAAACTTTAGCGCTTTAAAAGAAGATTTTTTTGTTATTTTTACTCTTAATCAGAGCTCGAAGTCGACTCGAGATTTTCATCGATTTTGTATTTGACTCCAAATCGACTCAATTCCTCACAAAATTTCATCGACTTCGAGCTCTGCTCTTGATACATTTCTTGATGCATGTAAATACCATTCTTATGAATTTTTGAGTATGTAAATACTAAATAGACAGAAAAGAATTCGTTTTCATAACTTTTCTGTCATCATGAAATAATGAATTGTGTGAGGAAATTTTTTAATATGAAGAAAGAGAATTTTGAGAGCAATTTTGTTGAACAATAATTTAAATTCTTTTTTTTTCCATTTGCTTAACATTTGAAGCTTATAAATATAAATAAAGTTTCATATATTTTGCTTTTAAAGTTCAACTAAACTCTCTTTGGGTATTTTTATTTTAAATATTTTTGACTTTCCAAAACCAATCATTGTCAGTCAACAAAACTTTAAGATATAGCGATATAAGTCTTTAAAATTCTCAACACAGGTTTTAACACCATTAAATATTCAAAATGTTAACCAGTTTAAAACATAAAATTTATTTGACAGCAAGATGGATTTATTAACATGATGAAAATTCAAAAACCTCTCGTCACTCTGCTCACCTAAGTTTGCCACACATTCGTTTTCATTTTGATTGATCTCACATTAAAATAAGCTATGGTGGTGAAAATGAAAAGATTAAATATATTCACAAAAATTGAAAATTTGTAATTTCTAATACTATCAACTAAGGGGTCGTTCACTTATGACGTCAAAAATTAACGGTCATTTTTTAAAAAAAAACAATGAATTTCCAGGAATTTTTTCTTTCCTTGCTGACCCCCCCCCCCCCCCCCCTGGATGTCATAAGTGAACGGTCCATAATTTGATTTGGTTATTTTCATTTAATCATTTAACTTTAAATAGAATTGAAAAACGTCTTAAATACAATGTTCAAAATCACAATCAAATGTTCATTTTCAATTGAAATCTTTCAAGACTTCATTCAAACTATAAAATCTTTTGAGTAGATATGAATTAAATTTATTTAAGCAATTGTTATAATGTAATTTTGTAAAATGAGAAAATGATGTAGCTTTATTTTTATGGCAGCAGTTATTACGATATGCAATTCTGATGAAATATTTTCCAATTTGCTTTTATGATTGAATGAAAGGAATAGCGAATGAAAATGAAGCAGGAGAAAGAAAAATTTTCTTTCTTGAATGTAATTTCTGATTGATTCAAATTTTTATTGAATCTTGAGTAAATTGAAATCAATTTTTATCTTTTCTTTTCATTCTTATTGTTCCTTTATTTCTCATCCATCTTTTTGAGCATTCAACAAATTCAAACTGATTGAAGTCAATTGAATTTATTCAATCTCTAATAAATTTCCATTTGACCTTCAAGGCCTCATTTTGGCATTAACGATAATTTTCTTAAAAAATTTCAAGTCACACAAAAACGACCTTAAATTCTCTCTAATGCAGATTAATGATATCGTTGACAGTGATAAAGCCGTGTTAAGACTTTCCAAACAAATTATTTGGTCGAGTCTTGATGCCATCGGAAGACTGATGAGCTTGCTAAAAGAAATTATTTTTAACGCACTCATCGATTTTTCTAGACGAAGAAATTGTCACTGCTTAAGCGAGGCAAGTCAATGAATTTTATTCCGCTAATTAATGAATGAAAATAATATTTTTTTCTTGTCTAGTCAGCGCTTAACTTTTTGTTCTTTGTGTCGATAATTCAATATAAAAATCGAAATCTGCGAAATGGGGGAGAAATTATAATTGAAATTGAATTTCAGAAGCGATAATCTGATTGAATTTTAACGATCGGACTTTTATTTTTTTTGGATTTATGAAATCAAGACTAGTAATTTAATAGGGTATGGGATTTTATGAAGACTTGATTTAGTTATGAATTAACTTGTCATTCTTTTAAATCGCATAATTTAATTTAGAATTAATTTGTCATTCTTATAAATCGCATGATTTATATCCAAATACATTTTGAACGTTTGTTGTAGAAAAACCTAGTAATAGGGTCTTTAGGTGCCCGGGCAACCCCCCCCCCCCCCCCCCCCCCTCCCCCCTTGAGCCCTTGAGATTGAAATTTTATGCAATTTTTTTTAAACTTGATTAACAAAAGCTAAAGCAATAACCATAAAATTAGCTATTGATAATCAAATAGAAAAGGTTTTATTGATATTTGACCACAAAAATTTTTTTGGACAACCCCTTGAAAAATCCTGGCTACGCTTCTGGATAAAGCCTTTCCTTTATAAAGACGCGTACCCAGGGCGGAGGAATCGAGTTAAAAATCCCCCAATGAACAGAAATTTCTTCATTTTGCTAGGCTTTCCTGTCTCACCATAATCCAAAAATTACAAAACCTTCTTAAAATCGTCATAATATTTTTTGCTCCCTTCTTTTCATCAATTCTGATTCCACGCCACTCTAAACGATTCAAATTGATGAAAACAGATTTGAAAGAAATTGGCTTCTTCTTGAAATTTCAATCATTATTCTCAAGACAGGATTTAAGATCAATGAACGATTGAATGAATAATACTCTTTTGTATATAATTTCATTGTCAGACATCGTCATGGAAATTTCTTCCGTTTATAACGAGATCAATTTTCCTTTGATCATTCGAGACAATCCTTAATTTAATTTATGCTACTTTAAATGTTTGATTTTTAAGGAAATAAATGACAAGTTGATGTCGTTTTGGATTGAGTATCAACTTGACGAACCGAGCTACACAGAGGGAAAGTCGGAGACACGGATGTATTAAGACTTTGCCACCTTCTAGCTTCTTTATCGCGTAATTTTGTTGAATCTTTGTCGACGACCATTGAAAGTCGAGAATAATTATCAACAAATTTGAAGCCAAACCTGCTCCTAAATCTCCCCTGCTCAGTAAATTTAAAAATCAATCCCTAAAAAACAGGTTTCCTTCTAACTGCGAGACTGTTACCAATAAATGTAAATGGATTCCTACATGCTCTTTGAAGTGCTTTATATAAAATGATTTTAATTACATTTTATAGATTTAATTACTTAAACTTCCTTGATAATTTCAATCAGTTTTCAATTGTTTAATTCAATAACTTGAAAATTTCCTCAATTTAATTAAAATTTCAATGCACGTTCACCAATATTATCATTCTGAAACATGTTAAATGGATAAACTTGCAACATCGATATTTAATGAATGTACAACAAACAATAGATTTCAATTTAGTCGTTCTCAATAGCAAATCGATAATGATTGAGATGACAGAATCAAAATTTCTAATTATGATTTTACAATTAATTAAATTGAAATGTGATACAATTTCTTGGTTATGATTTTAATGGTTAAAGCAGTTTAAAGATCAAATTGGAGGTTAAACAAATAAGACTGAAATAGTGAATGAGAATTTCTTGTCCATAGTCGAGAGTAGCGTACATCCTGAAACTTTAATTATTTTATTAAGTCTCAAAAACCACTTAAAACTTACAACCACAGTTGAAGCCATTCCACAAATTTTCACCAAAGCATTAAATCGATTTAAAGGATCAACAAAAATTCAATTCGTTCAACAGTAACGAAAATTTAATTAATTAATTTCAATTAATAAGTTTTTCCCTCAAAATCTGCAGAAAAAAAATTGAAAAATATTAATTTCGATTAAGCTGTGTCCATTAAATTAATTACACAGCATAAATGAAATAAGTTTTTAATTTACATAGCGAAACTGCACCTGCAGATAAAAATGAGTATCAATGAACGGGACGAGTTTAATTTACAGAATTGTGGTTTTATTTATGATGAAACTGTTTGACTGAAATGTGCCCCAAAAGCCATAATGAGGGAGATTTATCAATAACTGCCATGATTTTCCCAATGTTAGCAAAGAGAACAGAGTCCGTTGCAAACAAAAAAAATTCAAAATTTTCGCGTGGTATTTTTTTAAAATTTCAAAATAAGAAAGTCCGTTACTTTTTATATTTTTTAAACTAGCTGTTTTTTAAAGCATAAACATTTAAGGAATGCAATTTCATCACAGAGATTATCTTAATCATAAAAACTAGTGGGAATGTTCACTAAAATTACAAATTACTCGAAAAATAATAATTCACAACGATTTTTTTTAAAAATAAGAACTTCGAAGATTCGATTTTCGAAAAATAAGAACCTCAAAAATTCGAAGTTCGAATAATAAGAACTCAAAAATTTCTGTTTGCTAGCATTGGGATTTTTCTATACTATTTTTAACGGGGTTTAATTTTATTATTGCAAACAAGTGTTCAAAAATGCAACAAAAACCGTCAGTAGCAGCGACCGTAGCAGAGATACATCTTTAAGTTCCTTAAAACGACATCAATTTTTTAACAATTTCGATCAACTCTGGATTTTGAAGAAATGTAACATGATCACCAGAAACAAATGTTTTGAAAACTTTCTGAGTTGAAAATATCGATAATTCATAATCATCAGGAAGTCCTACAACTGGAGGTTGTGTCGATTTAATTAACGAAATTGTTGTTGTTTTCAAAATTGGAAATTCATCATTTTTGAGATGAAGTGCAATGTCAAGTCGATTAATATAAGATATTGATACTTCATTCATTAATGTTTCATGGGTGACTGGTAATGTATTTTCAGCAGATATCATGGCTTTTAATCTTTTTTCCCAAGTGTTGTGACTTTTAAAAGCAATTTTTGTTATTTCTGGATCAACATACTTTTGATAATTATTGAATATAATCATGGATATGAAGTTATTAATATTAGAAAACTTTTCTTTGTGAATATTTCCCAAAGCATATTGATTACAGAATTTTGGAGATCCATCTAATTGAATGATTTGTCCAGTCTTTCCCAAATTTTCTAGTTCCTTTGCAAACTTTAAAGTTAAAAGAGTACCAAATGAATGTCCAATAAGAATAAAATTATCCGCATCTGAATAAAAGTCTAAAATATGTTGCAATAAATTATCTACAATTTCACTAATGCTCTTGCTTTCAACTGTATCTATTAGTTGCAATATATAAACTGGAAAATCTAACTGCTTTGCTATGTTGCGGTAAACATTTGCAGCATATCCAATCAATCCTGGTACTATCAAAACTTTTGTATTTAAATTATTCTGTACATCATTTGCTTTTACAATTATTTCTGATGTTATCAGGCTAGCATTGTCATCGATTACTCCATCTAACATTATTGTCATCCAGTTTTCAGTCAATAAAATTTCTTTATCATCTTTAATTTTTTTATCATTCTTCGATGAAACTCTTTCAGTTAATTGATTTAAAGTTAGTGATCGTAATTCTTGTGATGTTAACGAAATGTCAAATTCACGCTCAATTGTTTGCTGTATTTCAACTCCTGTTAATGAGTCTATACCTAATTGTGTCAATGTCGAGTACATTGAAATTGATTTTCCTTCTCGAATTCCCATGATATTGAAAATTATATCAATGACATTTCCATTTTTCTTGTTACTTGTTTTCTTATCAGCAACAATCATGCTCGAGACAATGGGATTGTTGGATAAAAGAAGAACATCAAGCACATCAAAACATGAATGAATAGGTTGAGGAATTGATCCACCAAAGTCTTTATTTATGTCTTTAAGTTGTTCTTCAGCAAGCATTCCAACATCAGCTATTGCACCCCATTGAATTGCTTTTCCTGGAAATCCATCGCGATTTCTTTTTTCAATTATTCTTTCCATTATTGAATTTGCCATTGCATAATTACTTTGACCAATATTACCACGTCCACATGCGACACTTGAAAATACAACAAAATGTTTTAAATTTGGACATAGATTTCGCGATACTTGATCCAAATATTTTGTCGCTATTGCTTTTGGTGCGAGCGTTTCATTAATAACTTTTTCATCCAAATCATCAAACAGTTTGTCACGTAAAATACCAGCAAGATTATATATAGCACTAACTGATCCAAGTTCCATTGATTTTTCAATCAATTCCTTACATCCTTCTTCTGTTGCTATATTCGCTGTACTCACAATAACTTTTGCGCCAAGAGAATCCCAGAGTCTTTAAAAGGAAATAATAGATAGTGAAATCTGACGCTAAGCTGACATAGCAGCATTAAATTCAGCACTATGCCAGAGTTACAACGGCTTGCTTCCGGATTTCTGCTCTTTTAACCGACTTGTGCCATTCGGGGTAAATTCATGAACAACTTACTTTATTTTATAAGCCTGACGATCATTTGATATCCCTCTGCTCGAGCTCAAGACAAATTTCCTACATCCTCTAGATATGAGCCACTCAGTTAATTCAATTCCAAAACCTCCAAGACCACCAGGAATTATGATACACTCATTAGCATTATAGTAAACTCGACTTGATGAATTTAAGGGCAATGAATGTTGATCGTTCTCATTTTGTCTAATTTTAAGCACCACTTTTCCTATATGATGACCAGTTGTCATGAACCTAAAGGCATCTTCAATTTTATTTACATCGAAAACTGTCACACTTAAAGGCTTTATTATTCCTGATTTGAGATCTCTTTCAACCGCATCATAGACATTCTGAAATATTGTTATTCTCAATGGGAATATCATCAATTATTTTTTAAAATCTGATAAAATACCTTTTTTTCATCTTGATCCATAGTTACATCATCAAAAATGACAGCCTTAAGAGTTATTCGTTTACTTAAATATCTCATTTCTAAATTGGTTCCCATTTGAATATCATATTTCCCTATTTCTAAAAATGTCCCATTCACTGCCATACAACGAATTGAAGCTTGTAGCTTTTCACCAGATAAAGAGTTTAGGACATAATCGACACCATTGCCTTTTGTATTTTCAAGGACCATTTTCTCAAAACTTAAATCTCGGGAATTTCCAATATTTTCAGGTTTCAATTTTGGAAATCTTTTCAGAAGGAAATTCCTTTTTTCTTCAGTTCCAACAGTTGTGTAGACTTCTAATCCATATGCTAATGCAACTTCAATTGCCGCTTGTCCTACACCACCAGTTCCTGAATGAATTAAAATTTTCTTTCCAGCTTTAATTTTTGTAATGTTAAAAAATGCAAAATATACTGTAAAATATACAAGTGGAACTGTTGCTGCTTCTTCTAATGTCCATGAATCTGGAACGTTCCATAGCATTGCATGATCAGCATCATAATGTGTAGCTAAAGCACCAGCATTACTTGCTATTCCCATGACTCTTTTGCCGTTTTGCTTTGTTCCGGAAAATTCAAATCCTAGACATGCAGCTTCTTCTATTACAGTTCCTTCTTTATTGACAGTTATTCTTCCTAGTGCCAACATGACATCTTTGAAGTTTAATGAAGCATACTGAATATTAACCAAATTGGATTTACTGATGTCAAGTGATCCTTCAATCCAGGTTAATGAAGAAAGATCACCTTTAAAAAGGCAATCTGCAAAGCAATGCATTAATCGTGGAATAGATTCATTAGTTTGAGGCATATTCAAGTGCCTGTAACCTCCCCATTTTCCATCCTTGAATACATTTATTGTATCATTAAAGGCTAACTGCTTTGCAAAGAAATCACTATTAATGTCAAAATCATGAGGCGCATTTTTCATGTCCATGATGAAGAAGCATTTAAATTTTCCTTGATATTCAAGCTTTAGGCTCTTAATGAATCCGAGAATTCCTGATGGCTCACGGTTATAAGCAAATATGATCGTTGACGATTCCTGGATTGATTTTTTTAATGGTTCAAGCCATTCATTAACATTTTGTGTAATTTCAATTATGTTGTAGTTGGCAGGCTGATGAGACTCTTCCTTAAATTGTAGAATATGAAGTATTTCGTTTGATATTTTGATTTTCGAAATTAGTTGTACATCTTCATGTGGAATATTACACAAATCTTGAGATTCTCTAGAAATCATGTATCCATTAACGTTCATGACTGATTTAAGATCTTCAAAACTTTTATAATCACCAATCAGTTTCCTTTTAATAAGCAAATCAATTCCTCTGAAAGATGTTAAGTCTTCTGTGCTAATCGTGACATCCTTAATTTGAAAATCGGTTATTGATGTTATTAAAGTGATATCACCAACTACTTGAGGAATTCCATTGATTGCTTTTTGTAAATAATCACACAACAATGACTTCTTGTCCAGCTCTTCATCATCAAATTCTGTAATTGTAATTTTGGTCGAAAAAGCTTTATCAATAATCATTTGAATTATGATCTTAGATGCATTATCTAACGACATCTCTTCCTCAGATGTATATGGAACAAATTTATAAATCTCAAGTAATGGCTGATTTTTCTTTCTGCGCTGTATCCCTTGATGTCCTTTTTCATGAACTTCAACTCCACCTGCGTTTATAATTTGTCGATATGGACAAACTACAACATCAAATGTGATATCTACATTCTCATTATTAATAGATTTTGATTGCTTGATCTTCTCTTTTACCATCTTGTAATGTAGAATTGGATCAATAACAAGTTTTCTCATTCTTACTGGCACGCCAACTTCTTTAGATAATAGAATTCTTTTGTTGTTGAAATGTGTAACTGTGTCCAAAAATGATATCCAATTATTCATCCACTTGATTTTTCCTTGTAATCCATCATATTGCATTTCTGTCACACCTTTAAATGGCCCTAAATGATAGAATCCACAAAGACGTAATTCCTGATAAAAAGCATCACCAGAAAAAGTCTCTGGACTGTCGTGAGGTGTGATTTTAGACATTTCTATATTTTCTGCTTGCTTAATTATACCTTTAGCAATAGCTGTTGTGCCTTCAATGATTTCAAAACTTCCTGACGAACGATGTATGGAAATAGTTATAAGAATATCCTGATTCTTTTCCATTGGAGTCGCTTTCAAGAATTGCAAGTCTTCCATTATCACTTTATTCTTTTCAAAATGAATCCCGTACATTTTTGAAAATGTTTCCCATACAAGGAAAATCCAACCAGTTGCTGGAAACAGCACGCGACCATCTACAATATGATTTTGAATAAATTCAAAGTTTTTATCACTGATGTTGATGATGATCGTGTGTCTCTCAAATTCATTAAATGTGTTCATAAAAGGAACAAAATGATTATCTTCATGATTCCATTTGATAATATGAGAAATCATTGGAGTACTTCTTGAAACTGGAAAGCTGATTGGTGGATACAGTTTTGATATGTCCATATCAATTCCATGTTGAAAAATGCTGTAAAAAAACAAAATTCGAAATTTGATTAATCTAGATAAAGAATCACCGTTCATTGAAAGAAAGAAATTAGTTCTAATCTAGATAAAGTATCACCGTTCATTGAACGAAGGAAATAAGTTCGAATCTAGATAAAGTATCACCATTCATTGAACCAAGGAAATAAGTTCGAATCTAGATAAAGTATCACCGTTCGTTTAACAAAGGTGTATGACTTTAGAAAAGTGTTTTGTTTGAAAATCTCCAGCAAGTTAAAATCCCTCTTCTTCCCAAAAACTAAAAAGTCTTTCAAAAATTATGTCTTCTATTGAGGAGAAGCCTACATCTGAGTGACTATCCGAAGAGAAAAAGAAAATCAATCACGAATTAAACTAACCTTCCAAGTGCTTCAAAAAAATGTTTCAATCCGTCATTTGAATTCCTTTCAGTCAAATTTATGTAAGCTCCTTCCTTTAAATTTCTCTTCAAAATAGCCCTTAACAGTCCAGATGGAGCTACTTCAATCATTAATGAATCATTTGGCAACATTTCTGTGACTTCCTGGAACAAGACAGGATTGAGAAGATTGTTGGTATGGTACTCAGCTGATGATACTAAAACATCATTCTGATTCCACATATCTTTAGGATACGTAGAACTAAGCCATTTTCCTGAATGTTGTTTCGGATCTTTGATGACTTTTTTTAGATTCTTGTGAAGATTTTGTCCCATTTCCTTAATATAACGGCTATGCAATGGAACCCCTGAGCAAGCAACTTCTTTTGCAAAAATCTTTTCTCTCTTTAGTTCATCCATAAATGCATGAATGCTTTTAACAGGTCCACTGATTGTGCATGAGTCTTCAGCATTATGACATGCAATGTCAATGTCATGTGGTAATTTTTTCTTTAATTTTGAATGACTTAATCCAACAGCTGCCATAGCACCATGAATTATTTTTGATTCAACACTTGCTTCACCTCGAGCATAAGCTGTCAATATTGTTTCTTCTGGAGTGAGGCAATTATCAGCATATGCACAACAAATTTCACCAACTGAATGTCCAATAATATAATCAGGAACAATATTGAGTTCCTTAAGAATATCAGTGAGTGCAACTTCCATTGCAACTATCCCAACATAAGAATGCAGCACATCATCAAACGTTTCATTATTTGAAGATGTTATGATCTTTTTAAGATCGATTCCTTTTGTCATTAAAATATTGTGAGAGTTTTCTATTGACTGAGCAAAAAGAGGAATTTTCATCAAGTCTTTACCCATTTCAATCCACTGACTACCGATTCCACTATAAACGAATACAACTGGACGTCGTGAACCATTGAAGTGTTGAATGTTTCGTCTAACACAAACAGCATTTGTGTCTTCTTCATCTTTGACAAACATTCCATAGCCACGATAAGCATTAGAACTTGCTGTTTGAATTTGTGAGTTATGAAAAAGTGCAATATATTCAGCATCGAGTGGACGTAAAGTAATGTCATCAAAAATAACATTGATTGCTGCCTCTGTTCTTCCCGACCATAATACCATTCGCCCAAGGTCATCATCTGGAATTCCAAAATTGACCTTAACTTTGTTATTTCCTTTGAACAGTGAATGAGCATTTCCACCACCAAGGCCGAATGAATTCATTGCAATATATTCTCCATGAAGATCTTCAACTTCTGTTAGAACTTTTATACGTCCCTCAGTAAATGCTGGTACATCAGATCGTATTGATGTCAGGTTGATGTTTGGTAGAAATTTCTGATTTTCAAAAGAAAGTAAAATTTTTGTCAATGATGACATTCCTGATGCAGCTTCTGCATGTCCCATGTTTGATTTTACACTTCCAACGGTTAATTTTATTGACCTTTCTGTTCCGATATTAAAAACTTTATCAATAGCAGCCAATTCTTCAGGATCACCAAGTTTAGTGCCTGTTGCATGTGCTTCAACATAATTGACGTTTGATGGATCAAATTTTATTTTCTTGTAAAAACTTTCCATCAGTTGTTGTTGCATGATTTTCGATGGAAATGTAGATCCTCCTTCCTTGAATCCATCATTATTGGAACTGCTGTATACAACATTTGCATAAATTCGCTTTGAATCTTTACGTCTCTGAAGAAACATGACACAAATTGTTTCTGCTCGTGTGAATCCACTGGCATGCTCATCGAATGGTCTTGAAATTCCATCTTTTGCCAAAATTCCTAACCGTGAATACTCCATCGTTGTTCTATTTCCTAAAATTATCTGAGAACCACCAACTAGTGCTGAATCGCAAAGTCCTATAATTATTTAAAAATTTAATAAGTTTTTTATTTTATTTGATTTTCATTTGTGTATGCACCTGATTCCATATACCGAAAAGCACAATCGAGTGCATATGCCGAACTAGAACAAGCTGTATCAACTGTAAATGATGGTCCACATAGTCCAAGAGCATAAGATATTCGATTTGACATATAAAATCCAGAACTCCTGTTGAACAAAATAATTTTCTTTTTATTAATTTGGAAATTGTCAAGCATTTTCAATGTCGATCGAAGACAAGCACATGATAATTGTGTAAAAAGATAGCTCATAGTTGAGTAGTAATGAATAAGATAACGCTGCTTTAAATGAATTCACACCGTTTCAAACTTCCAAATATCGTGCTGGAGACGATTTTCTCATAAATGCTTTATTAGATTACAATTACAATCGAAGCTAGCACTGTTTAAAGAAGAACAACATGTTAAAGATCTTACCCCAAGACCAGATATCCATCTTTTGGTGGAACACAATGAGTAAATGTATCCTTAGCATCACTCATACTCAATCCAATAAAAACTCCAGTTTTCCCTCCAATCAGCGATTGTGGTGAGACACCAGCATCAAGAATTGCCTGCAATTAGTTAACATGGGCAAATTAACACTCTTGAATAATCTTAGCTTTAAGTTGATCAAACATTTAAATTTTATAAAGTCTTGATTAACGAACTATTTAACTAAATGATTAAATGGAAGTTTATACTTCCACTTTAAGAAACTGAGAACTTTGCTTAGAAACAAAGTCATACATACATACATACAAACATTAGAAATTAATTAAACAGGAAAAATTTGAAAAAATAATTTGAAATTTGATTAAACTGTTAAAAATTGAAAATCGCTCGGACTGAAAATTTTACTCAAGTTTACTTGATAACTAGCTCAATACTTTATTCACTAGGCCTTGCAACAAGGAGCAAATTTATTACATGCAGAGGCGTAGCCAGGGGGGGGGCATAGGGGGCCATAGGCCCCCCCCCCCCCCCCCGTACGAAAATCTGATAATTGTTTTATTAAGTATTTATAGAGAAGAACCAGTTAATGTAGAGGAAGTGATGAAAGAAATGTCAAAATCAGCACGAAAAATTAAATTTAATGTATGAATAATGAATTAAATATTTAAACTTATGAAGAATGAATAAAGATTTAAGGATACATGAACAAAAAAAATTAAAAACTGATTTTTCAAAATTTAAATTTGATTTAAATGCAATACTTTTTATATCTTGAAACAATATTTTAATCCATTTTAATGATGCAGGGGCGATAACCAGGATTTTTCAAATGAGAAGGGGGGGGGGGTCCGAGTGCTATTGCACAAATAACTATTTATGGTTATTGCTTTAAAACCAATTAGCTTACCTCGTACGAATGTTCGAGTAGAATTCTCAGTTGAGGATCAGTCCAATTAGCATGCTTATTTAATGTTGAGAAAAAAGCAGCATCAAACTTTTCTAAATTCGGAACTTTTCCAAATCTTCGTGGAACCTCATCAGAAAAATGTTTCCAATGACTTTCGTCTTCATCCGTCATATCCACTTTACTGAATAAATTATTTTCAAATTCTTTTACGTTTTTGGAGTTTGGAAATCTTCCTGATATTCCAGATATGACAATTTCTTCATTATTCACTTCCATTTTATAAGATGTAAGATTGTCTTTTTAAATTTTTCTTCCGAATCTGTCAATGATTATTTTATTTTTATTAAAAATTTGGGTTTTTATTTAAAATTCATTATTTTTGAATGTTGAAAAATAAAAATAAATTTTCTTGAAAAATCAAAACTTTCAAAAATTATATTGAAAAAAAAAAGAATTTAAAGAAAGTTTAATAAATTCTTAAGAGGTTTCATTTATTAAGAAACTAGCTTTTAATCCCCCTATTTTTAACACAAAGTTTTATTTTTTTTAACTATCAGAAAATCTTAAACATCACCCATCCCCTCTTAATGCATTACATAATCAATGAATTTTCCTAAAATACACTTTAATAATTAACAAATGAAGATACATTAACCTTTATTGAAGAGAGTAAAATTTCAACTGAATGATCATCGGTTTACAATTGATATTTATATGTCACTTCTCGTTTATTTTAAAAAATTATAGAAGTCCTCGTGTTATTGATCGAAGGACTTAAGCGCATTTTTGTGTTAGCGATCAGTATTTGATTATCTATTTATTTTTCGTTCAATTACAGATCATTAGAAGATCATCAATTAGCAAATAATTATAATGAATGCTTATGGGCGATTCTACGAATGATATTTTCTACAAATTTGTCTCTAAATCTATATTTCTCTTTATCAGTTGCATTACTCCCCATGTTTCATGTATTTAATAGTAGATTTTACCGAGATCTAAATATTGTTCTCACCCAAACATATTAAAAATGGTTAATTAAAGAATTATTTGCATTCTACGAAAAATTACTCTGTTTCACATGAATTTTTTCGCCCAAATTTCCAAAATGTTTTCATTAATATCTTTAAGGTGGTAAAATTTCCAGTAATACTAAGTATACAAAGTTATAGCTTAAAGTAAAAGCTTCAAAACGATGTCAAAATCATATTTGTGGACGCCTTAATTAAGCTGCAATTTGGATTCTACGAAAAATTTCATAAGTGAAACAGAGTAACTTGGAGACAATTCCAAAAAAAAACTACCAAATATTAAAATTAAAACCAAGAATTTCTCAAGCCACAGCTAAGTAATTTGAGTGCAGATGTAATCATAATTCACAGTTGAACCAATAGAAAAGGAAATGAGAATTAGATTTTTGAAAAACTATGCACACGTGAAAATAAAATAATTAAAAAATTTCGTGCAATTGACACGGATTATTTTAATGAAACCTTTTCGTAGAATTGCCCTTATATAGAAAGGCTTTATTATTTAACGGTAAATAAATTATTTGAAATTTTCCTGATAAAAGTTGCACTTCAAAAACAATAATTATAGTATAATTATTAATTTGTTGCAATGAATTTCCATACAAAAAAAGTTTACCATTTAACGGTTTTTTGAAATTAAAATTTTACAACGGCTAGAAAAAATTTTAAATTATAGAGGTAATGTTGAAATTATAGAGGTAAAATAAAATTTAAGTAGGTTAAACTGAAAACAAAATTAAAATTCATTAATTATAGTATAAATACACTGTTTCAAGACTTTTAACTGTTTGATCGGACAATAAACAATAGTAACGGAGCTAATAAAACAAATCTGAGCTTTCAACGATGTCTGGTTAAAAAGTTTTTCTTCGCCCGAACGAACATTTCGCATTATTAAGCTTCCTTTTTTCTATACAAGAATACAAAAATGCGCTAAAAACACGAATGAATTCACACAAATTGGAGTTTCAACTGTAAAACGTACCTCTCTATATATCTCTTAAATGATGAGTACGTGATGAATTTTTAAATTTTTTATGACCGTTTTTTCCCCCAAGATTCTAAGAGAATTCTCAAAAAATTCAGCTAAAACTCAATGACTTTCTACTGAGCTGGTTTTTTGCATTTGTAAAGTATGTAATTTTGTACTAAAATCAGAACTTTATCATTTTTTACAATGCTTGATTTCAACTGTGTTTTTAGCGCATTTTTGAAACTTGTTTCGGAAATGTAGCTTAATAATTCACTTTGTTTGTTCGTTCGGGCGGAGAAAAACTTTTTAACTAGACATCGTAGAGAGTTCTACACTTTAATTAACTCATGTAAGAAGTTTATTTTAATGCAGTTCAAATATGACGTAGAAATATGCGATTTGTTAATCATTTTTAAATCTATCAATTGTTAAAAACATTTACATATCTTAGATGCAGCTTATTTAAGTAGAATAATGTTTGAGTGTATAAAAGATATAAAAAATCAGGTTAAATAAGTGTGATAAAAAATTGTGAATTTTATTAGGCTCGTGTTAGCGATCTGTTTCTATTTTTGGAAGTAAATAAACTGTATCAATAATTCAATTCGTTGAGTATGACTAAATTAAATATAAATGTTTCTCCAGCTGAAAGTTGAAATTATTTGAAGGTAACAAACATAGTAACAGACATTATTATTGAGAAAAAAATTACAAAGATACACGTGTTATTGATCGATTATCATACAAAAACTGTTTATCGTTTAACAATTTGATAAACAATTATCATACATTTTTTTTTTATGATTTAACTGCTGTATACTACAGGCACGATAATTAGTACTAGAACGTTTTCCATTGCTTAAGTAAGACTTTAAATGCAGCATAAAATCTGACAAACAGAGATCTAAGTTTGAGTGCTTTGGTTTGGCAACGTTAGTGGATCCTAAACTTACATCACATCATCATTATTATGCTGCATACTTTTTCATTCCATTTTCTTTCATTCACAAAATATCAAATTTCTTTTGTTCGACAAAAATATTTTTCCCTAGCAGCTCAGCAATCAAAAGCACGAAAAATAAATGAAAGCAAAATTACAGCAAAAATATGTTTGGCTACAGGAAGTATTCATTGTTAAATTACAGAACGATAAAGGTCAAAATACATAACTATATAAACATAATTTCCTATTTTATTGAAAAGTTTACATAATGATCTTGACCTTCGGTTTTTGTTGAGTTTATTGTTTAGGAATAAAAATAAAAATTCCGGTCATAAAATGGAATGGCATAGGGGCTGCTTACTTATGACGTCCATTAGAAAACCAAATTTTTAGACCCCCTCTGAAAGGATGTCAATACACCCCCCCCCCCCCTTGTGAGGTCCAAAACAAGGCACAAACAAAAATTATAATTTTCTGATTAAAAAGTTGGCAAATTTTTTGACCCACTCCCCCCCCCCCCCCCCTAAATGTTGGACGTCATAAATGAACGACCCCATACGAAAATGTTCTGTAGCCTAAATGAAATTTTTTCACTCCTCATCTGCTTTTCAGCTTTTTTTTTCCTTTTCACAAAAAAGATTTTTATTTATTCATAAAATAAAATTGGTGCTAAAGAAATGAAAATAGTCCCCGGAAACTGCTGTTTGGGGGCATTTTTCTCCACGTTTTTAAAATTGGTTTCTCATTCGTGTCATGCTACAGTACTTTTTTGAGAAGAAATAGCCATAAAGGTTCTTGGAACATGACGTAAATAGAAAAATAGAACTTTTTGACTTCGCTTATATTAAATTCGTCAAAATTTATTTCACTTATTTTTGCATTAATTTCCCCAAATTTTTATTCAAATGTCACATAAGCTCTTCCTCAACCTTCGTCCACAGGACACACTCAAACTTTTTTCAAGGTCGGTCATTGTTTTCACATCAAAAGCACTCAAATGCAGTAAATGAAAGGGAAAAGATTTACATAAAAAGCTTATTGTATAAAAAAGAGTATTTCTACATCCATTCAAGTGACCCAAAGTGATGCAAATATGTGTATTTGCTTATGCCTTTACCTTTTCCTACCTCTCTTGTTTTTTTTTTTCATTCTCTAATAAACATCTCCATTGACCCAAAACTTTGGCAAAATATTCCTCATATTCTTGGGGTTGTTAAGGTGTGACGTCTATTGTTTAAGGGGTCATCGCTGCCTATCAGAAGTATCAAGCAAGAGAACTGATCAAAATGATCAAAAATGATCAAATCTGATCAAAAAATTATTCAAAATGAAAAAAATTGATCAAAATTGATCAAAATCGAATTCATAAGTTCCGCATTCTTGGCATCAAGACAGGAGTTTATGGACATTTTGTGACAAAGGGAGCTTAGCGGGCATGCATAGGAAGATGGTTTAAAATCCAATTTCTTGGAAGACATCTTCAGCAGTGTAGCATCACTCAATCACTCCCCAATTAGACGTCATAAGTAGACGACCCTGTTATTGTTTTAAATTAATTCAGATTTTTGTACTTCTCTGTTCCACTCTCATGTTGATTCTTAATTTGAATTTTATGGAGCTATAGCCTCTCTGCTGATGGAAAAGTTTCCTTTTTCAAACTCCTTTGATCCCTCTTGTATACAAACATAAATTTGGATATTTTTTTTGTTGTTGTTGTTGCTGTACAGGATTTATAATATGTAGAACATAATGACAAAAAATTTTAATATTTTATTTAACAAATATTTTTTTTATGTCACAAGATGAATGTTAAGAATCTTTCATAGATAAAATAAAATTGAGTCATATTATCTGGTTGGGATGTGGAGTTGAGGTATTTATCACATGTCATCATTCTATCTATGTGCTTTGAACAAACACAAAAAATAAGTGAACTTTAATAGAAAAACAAATTATGAGACGATAGAGTCCAAAATATTTTTGAAGGATTTTTAAAGAAGCTTTTGAAAAAGTTTTGTTTTTGGGGTTTTAAAAAAGGATCTCTTCATAGATAAAAAAGTTTAAACAAATTGGGTAACGTCTATATAAGGACTTATAATTAATAGACAATTATAGAGATGATAAAGTTTAATTGAGGTTGGGGAGGCAAATGAGCAGTTTACTTTGTAATAAATTTTATTTCGTTGTTGAAGTTCTGGTGAAGTTGGGCGAGTAGCCAGAGGGAAATTTTGGGGACAAATCCACCCACATCGACAGAAATTGCTTAATTTTGCACCTTCTTCCCCCATATCCCCCTAAATTTATCCGAACAAAAAGAATTGACATCCCCTCGCCTCCTTCAAATTCTGTTATACGCCCCTGGCTAACGCCTTTA